CAAACTGTTTGTATTATCAGGAAATCAGTAGACAAGTACTCCTTGGATTTAGAGAAGCCGGAGCAATAATAGTCTTGTTTTTATACTTTTGATATGAACGAAATTATGTATTAAGACAAATGTAAACCTTTTTCTTATATGTATTCAATGTTTGGTTGTGTTTACTATGCTTGCTATGATACAATTGTTGTGATACTACACATGACGTCAACCACCCCCAAACGTTTCCGTTGTTCCGGTTTGGGTGTGTGACAAGTAGTATGCTTAGGGAATAAAGGGAATGGAATTGGTGATGGTTAGTATGGGCGGTTTTTCGGGGAGTCAGACCAAATTCAAGTTCCCAGATTGCGGATTTTCAGGTGAAGTAGGGTTGTTTTGCTGCATGCGATTATGGATTCGTCTTCCTCGGATTGAAAAGATTTATTTTGGGTTTAGTCTCCTTCGAAGGTCGTCGAATGTCATGGTTGTGGATGTGCCCCTCAGGATGTCGGGCATGCCAAGGATGGTAAGGGATGATTTCGAGGACGAAATCGAATTTAAGTGGGGGAGAGTTGTAACATCCCAATTTTCAAGAATGAATTTTAAGCTTTATATGTATTTTCCCAGGGCAACTCGACGATTTGGGAGGCGCCAACTCGTCGTGTTTAGTTTTAATGTCCGCATACTTTTCAAGACCTACTCGACGAGTTGGAAGGCCCTAACTCGACGAGTTGAAGATTGAACATGAAAACCCTAATTTTTAGGGTTTGCACCCTATTTAAAGGCCTTAACTCTCATTGTTGGCCTCCTTCATTGTCTCATTGTCCAGAGAAAACCCTAGTTCGTGCTTTTGCCCTTATTATGTATGTGTGTGAGCTTAAAGAGTGGTTTTTGGTGCTCTTTTAGAAGGAACAAGAAGCTTGAAGAAGTTTCCAGAAGGGAGAGGCTGTAGATCCGGTGTTTGCTCTGTTGTGGCTACCATTTTGAGGTATAAAGTCGATACCTTGGCCTCTTATTGCTTAGATCTACTTCTATGAAAATATATTGTTATTCTTGGCCCATATTAGAGTCATTCTTGGAAAGATGCATTGTTTGAACTTGTCATTTCATATTTGGATGTTTTGTGGCTCTTTGAGCCTAAAGTTCCAAGCCTTATCAAGTATTGGCCCTCCTTCATGCCCTAAAGCCCTTGACAAGCCTTATTTGAGTGTTTTAGCCCCTTTGATGCCATGCATGGACGTAAAGTTGGCAACTTTACGTGGTATCTCAGTCCTTGGGGACCATATCTATAGTTTAGGGCTTTGGTTTCGCTTGAAAGTGTCTAAATGCATTAAGGCTAGTAAAACTCGACGAGTTTCTCTGCCAACTCGACGAGTTGGTTAGGGTTTTCCCGCTTTCTGGATGTTGAAGAACTCGACGAGTTACTCTGGTAACTCAGCGAGTTGCCTCGAGCTTTTTCATAATTTTCTGAACACTAAAGGAACTCGACGAGTTACTAGATACACTCGAGGAGCTGGGTCAACATGGACTATTGACCTTGACTGTTGACTTTGACTTTGACCTTGGTTGACTAAGTTTGACTTTAAGGGTATTTTAGTAATTTGGGATTTTAATGAAGTGAGTCACGTGGTGGTTGTAGGCAGTCGAGATCGGAGCTGAGAGTTGGGATTTGATCTTCTTGATTCAACACTACTTGTGAGGTGAGTTTTCCTTAATATACTCAAGGGTCGAAGGCACCAAGGCCGGCCCTTTGGATTGTTATCATGCTTTATTACCGTTGTGATCTGTTAGATCGGTACCCTGGTAGATAGGATGTTTGTATGTGGTTATGATCTGTTAGATTGGTATCCTGGTAGATAGGATGTTGCTATGCTTAGTGATATGTAGATCGGTTTGACTGTCTGTAGACTGTTATGTGATTATTTGATATATGTGCATATGTTTGATTGGTGGTTGAGGCTTTTCTACTTTGTGCATGAGCCAACAGACCGGGGCATTCCAGCCTGATGGTTGTGGGCCGAGAGTATTCCATCCCGTGGATGATTGGACTCATAGTATGTGGGCATTCCAATCCGATGGTTGTGGGCCGAGAGTATTCCATCCCGTGGATGATTGGACTCATAGTATGTGGGCATTCTAACCTGATGGTTGTGGGCCGATAGTAATCCATCCCGAGGATGATTGGACTCATAGTGTGTGGGCATTCCAACCCGATGGTTGAGGGCCGAGGGTATATCATCCCGAGGATGATTGGACCCATAGTATGTTGGCATTCCAACCCGATGGTTGAGGGCCTGGGGCATTCCAACCCGATGGTTGATTGGGCCCATAGTATATTGTTATTATATGTGTGTTATTATTGTGCGGTATTTTGAGGGAACTCACTAAGCTCCGTGCTTACAGTTGTGGATTTTGTTTCAGGTACTTCAGATGATCGCAACAAGGCGAAGGCTTGATCGTGCACCTCCTCGTTTTTCATGTTGTGATTTCTGGGAAAACTCTGATATTGGATTATTTTGAAAACAATTTGTAAACAATGGATGGTTTTGGAATGTTTGAAAAAGTTTAAAGTTTTTATGAAATTTATGGATGTTACACTTTATACCTTCTGAAGATGTAGGAAGGTGCAAAACTTCCAGATCCAAAACTGCTCCAAGCTTCTAATTTGATCTTTCTTCCTTATTCATCCTCTATGAACACCAAAACACCCACAAATGGCTCAAGAATGTTAAAATACGAATTAAGGTTTACTAGGGTTGAAGTGGGGCTGGAAGCTGATGAAAGAAGAAGGACTTGGGACTTAAGGATGCTTAAATAAGGTCCAAACCCTAAATATTAGGGTTTGGGTTTTCAGCACGTACGCCCAACGTACCTGGGGTTATGCCCAGCGTACGCACCGTACTCCAAAAAATTACGAAAATACCACTAAGGGCCACAATGCAATAAACTCTCATTTCAAGGGTTAAAAGTGGAATTACCTTAATATCTAGATGTTACACCTAATATTTCTATGTTTGCTAGTGAAAGGGAGGTATAGCAAAATCTTGACCAAGGTGATGTGATTTACATGCTTATGGCCAAAGAGCATGCAAAGGTGGAGAAGATGTTGCATGGAGAAAACACTATTGTTTATTTGCTTTTGGAGTTTCAAGATGTGTTTCCAAACGAATTACCACCGGAGTTTTCATCCAATCTGTGGTATCGAACACCAAATTGACCTTATTTTGGGTGCTCCTTTGCCTAATAAAGCTGCCTATAGATGTAATCCGAAGTGACAAAGGAGTTGCAAAAACAAATTGATGAACTCATGAAAATGGGTTATATTCATGAAAGCCTAAGTCCTTGTGTTTTTCCGGTGTTGTTGGTTCCAAAAAAAGATGGTTCTTGGAGGATGTGTGTTGATAGTAGGTCTGTTAATAACATCACCATAAAATACCAATTTTCACTAGTATACAACTTATACATGCATGCATTTGAAGGATTTTTAATTTGTTAGGAACCATTTGTGTAATTAGATAGGGAAAAATGGTGGGGTAGGTAAGGTAAGGTGAGGGGGGCGGGGTTGGGGTGTATTTATTTAAATAAATTAAAAGATCAAAGGGAAAATGGTATTTTTAGGTAAGACATGGACCAATCGCGTTACAAAAGCAAACAGTAGGGACCTTCCGAGTTACAAAAATAAATTAGGGACCAAACACACAAATTACCCTAAACCATAGGGACCATTCGTGTAATTTACTCTTATACATATAACAAATTAGAAATGAGATGTTACGTAAAATCATGCCCTTTCACTATAAAAAGCATACAAAAGCAATCACATTTTACATGGATTTTGTTCCAGATCCCACTTTACAGCCATATCTATGAACACAATACAAAAAGATAATCTATCAGAGGCAAAAGGAGAAGACAAGTGTCAACCCTTCAAAAATTCTACCACAAGTTTGTGCAGCTCTTCGTCTAAAAGATTTAAGGAACTATCCAAATGATTGTATCTTTCAAACTCGTATTTAAGCTCTTTTAAAACATTTATGTAACAATCATCCCAGGGTTTCTTATGATTTTCAACATTGTATCTTTCAAAGGCTTTGTATGCTTCAAACCCGATTTTTAGCATGTACAAGACATGCAAAATATGTGTGTTTCTTGCACTTCATCATAACTGGAATTGGATTCATTATTTGTAACATAATTTCTTGAGGTTGTTGAGGGGTTCTATGGTGTGAAGCAGTTGATTTTGCGGCCTTTAAAGGTACTACACTCCCCTAGAGGAAATGGCTGGTTGGAATTCCTACTGGCTCCTCTTTTGTTGTTATAACCAGGATAATCTTCAATCTTGAACTCCATACATTCAATCAATGTTAAACCACTTTAAATTGTCAATTCTTCGATATTCCAACGGTGGAATGGGTGTGCCTTTTTTACATGAACTTCACAGTTTGGACGCAACATGCCACACACGTTCCGTTTTAACTTAAATTTTAACTTCTAATATATATATATATATATATATATATATATATATATATATATATATATATATATATATATATATATATATATCTGTTTTAACTCTATAATAATAATTAATTTTATTTGTAATTTTGTTATCAAATACCAAATTTAATTTAATTTTTAACATCTAATTATCGGGACCTTAAATTTATGAGCTTCATTGGTAATAGTCTAAACTTGAAGGGGACCAAGTAGAACTACAGCGAGATCTTTATCGCCGCAAACGCTCTATGATGGCAATGTCAAATCATGTACCCTTCGGATAGTTTAATCGATATTCTAGATTGTATTTTTGCTTTTCAGAATTCCAGTGGCACTTTGGTAAGTCTTCACCCAACGTTTGTTTGTTTATTTATTTGTTTATTTATTTATTTTTTGGATTATATCACTCGCGTTCATACACCGTTACGGTTTCCACCTCCGCCTTTCTCTCTCTAGTCTCTTTGTGATCGAAAACATCGTTAACAATGGTGGAAATTGCAGGGGAGCATGTACTACGGAAAATGACGATGAAGAGAATTAGCGATGAAGATGGCGAAGAGAAATGGGCGAAGCATTACTCTTCGAATCATCAGATACTGTTAGTTGGAGAAGGAGATTTCTCTTTCTCTGTGAGTCTGGCGACGTCTTTTGGGTCTGCTTCCAACATTGTAGCCTCTTCTCTCGATTCTTACGGTAATGAATCAGTGCTTCTTTCATCACCTGTTAATCTCCATTTCTGAACTGTAATTAGTCGCTAATTAAGGTTTCCATAATCAGTTTGCTATTTTAGTTCTCAAACCCGATTTTATGTGCACTTGTTGGTAATGAAGTCTTTTTTTTTTTTTTTTTTTTTTTTTTTTGTTATTTTATTAGCTAAATTCAGGAAGCTTTAATGTTTTTTTTTTCTTGTAACAAAATGTTTTCTACAAACATGCTACAAGTTTTTATTTTAGTATGAAATATGCATGTAACATTTTTTTTGTTGTTGCATTTAATGATAAAATCAGTAGAATATTGTTGAGTAATATCATTTCTTTTAAGACCGTTTTCTGTCATAAGTGAAGAAAATATGACACTTGATTTTATAAACAAATAATTAATAATATCAATTTTCTTGAAATATTTTTTGTTAAGGTTGAAATGGATAAAAATAATAAAACTAGAAATTTTAACTAAAGGAAAAAGTAAAACAGTTGAAGATATACTAGTCTTGTATAACTTCTCTAGAATACTTTTATAATCATATTTAATATATTCTTTATTTGAATGATAAAAACAAAGAGAGTGCTGATCGTCAATCAAATGAGGATTCCTTTTTGGGAAGTATGATGTTCCTGAATTGGTAATGTAATTTTTTTGATGTTGATAAATGATAAGTACGTCACGACTTATCAAACAACTGGGTTCATCTTTAGGTTTCCATATTATAAAAGCTTTCATGCTCTTTGTTGTTTAAAGTGTGAACTTTTTGTTTCAAATAAACACATGAATGACATATTGGTCTTGTGATTTGGGCATACTTTGATTTTGCAAGATGTTCTTATCAAGAAATACAAGAGAGCAAAAAGAAACTTGGAAATTTTGGATAGTTTTGGAGCTCAACTATTACATGGGGTTGATTCGACCAAAATGAAACTTGATGCTTATCTTCGAATGCGAAAGTTTGACCGGATAGTATATAATTTCCCACATGCCGGTTTTCTAGGGAAAGAAAGTGATCACTTGGTCATCATGTAAGCTTCCTTTTACTCCAAATCTTATAAGTTAACTATTCAAACATATACATCTGGCTTTTCATTAGGGCCTAAATTCTAGTCTCTAGAGGGATATGTAAATCACCCATTTGGTGGTGTTGCTTGTAGGATGCATAGAAGTTTGGTTCGTGGGTTTTTCAGGAACGCAAGTGGCATGTTGCGTCGGAATGGTGAAGTTCATGTAACCCACAAGACTGCATGCCCGTACTACTGTTGGAACATCAAAGAATTAGCAACCCAATATTGCTTAACATTGCTTGAATGTGTCAAGTTCAAGATTAAGGATTATCCTGGTTACAAAAACAAAAGAGGAGATGGTAGGAATCCCGACCACCCATTTCCTCTAGGGAAGTGCAGTACTTTCAAGTTTATATTGTCTTCAAAAGCCAAGAAATTAAGCACCTCAAAGCATAGAAACCCTCAACAACCTCAAGAGATTCCATTACAAAGAGCAAATGAAAGGTTTGCGATGAATCCTTTCCCAGTTATGATGAACAAGGAATGCTTTCGGGTTTTCAAGGAGTATTTTAATCATGCATGTTCGAGCTCTGGGGAATCTCATGACAATCTTCCCTATCGTGATCAGGACATGCTAAAAATTGGGTATGAAAGATACAATGCCGAAAATAATGGAAAACCTTTGGATGGTTATGTATGTCTTGTAGAAGAACTCCGAAAGGTTAGTAGACAGAGGGTAGCATTCTTGCGAAACTGGTTGCTGGAAATTGCTCACCAGTACTTGTCGGTTCAGGTTCGACCCGAGAAAAGGTTAGCTTGACTTCTTATTTGATATGCAAGAAATGTAAATACAGTTAATTATTTGCTGGAAAATGATCACCATGTCTAATTTATTTTGTTGACTTGATATGCAAAGAAAAAGTAAATAAATGATCACCATGTCTAATCATGTAGTATAGTAGGAAAAGCAAATATTTTTCATGATTTGATGTGCAGCCATCCGGCCAGGCGTCAGGCGATGTAACGCTCTGGCTATAGTACTATAGTAGTATAGTTCCACCTAGACCCCTTCAATTTTTAGAATTACCCTTTGAATTATATACTTTTAAGTTTAAATCATTAACACGCTTCATTATTTTGTTATAAAATAATTAATAAAGTTTATTATTAATTATCATTATAGAAATAAAGTAAAAAAAAGTTATAAAACATAAAATAAATAAAAAACCAAGAACTAACTATCCGTCACACTTTTATTCAACAATCTGATAAACGGTAGTACAATCATAAAGATGGTCGGTATGCTCTAAGTATGAGCAGGACCGGAGATTTTTTTGGTATGGTACCGCATAGGAAGAAACAACGATGTTTCTGCCTTCCCCATCCCAATCTTCCTCTCTCACCTTTCTCCTTAATCGGCAAAAGGTTCCGTTGATGCCTTCCTCTTTCCTCACATGTAATCTTCTTTCCCTCCCAAAAGGTGCATCATTAGGGATGCAAATGGATCGGGATTCCTTGCTATCCACGGGGACCGGAACCGAACGGATCTGGGATTCCCTGCCCTAGCAGTTAATGGATCCGGGATGGGGCAGGGACGGGCATATCACTATCTGTCCGTTTAAAACCTTATATATATATATATATATATATATATATATATATTCAAAAATCAGTTGTAATTAACTACTATTCAATGGAGATTTCAATTTACAAAATTTTGGAACACTGAACTGTCGAAATATGCCACTTTGTATAAGAGATTGCAATCAAGTTATTATTTATACTTTTAAAATAAAGGGGAACACCTTTAGTTTCCCAATGTAAGATTCAAAGACTTCAACTTCCTGACCATCGAAAACCGTAAAGAAACACGAAATCTCAATGAACAGTTCTTTAGATCCACAGATGTTGTTTTCAAAAGAATTAGTTTTGTCATCCAGAAAGGCCTAGCAGCGTAGCTTGTTGCTCGTTTGCCTTCCATCGATATGTATTACCTATATTAATCAATATATATTCCAAAATAATAATAATAATATTCTAAACCTAGGTATGAACTCTCACACACAAGATTAAAGTAATCTATCTGATCTATATCAATAAACAAAAAACAAGAAGGTAATATGTATATCATAATGATATAGCAAATGATATATAGCAAGACTAACTACAGCAGAGGTTGAAGTTGAGAGAAATATGGTTTTTTCTTGCAATTCGAAACGAGATTAATTATGTGATGTCAAAGAAGGTGTTTTTAATAGGTGAACACATTTCTCCAGTAGTCCTTCAAATCTTGTGACTTTGCATCTTTAGTCCTTAAATGCTTCCACTTTTAACCCTCCGATCCTTGATAAACCAGCATTGTCCAACTAGCTTTATTCTACTTGCTTCCTTACATTTTCAGTCCAATACTACAAAAAGATCAACACAAATTATTATCTGACATTTTTCTAGGTCAAGATTGGGAAGTATTCTCTTTATATTTTAAAGGAAAAATGACTTGCGAGGATAATTATCTTTTCGTCTTGTTCACGTTTAGGTAACTTCATTTTCTTTTTTGTACATATTTGACCATTTAATAAGTTAAATGGTCAAATATGTACAAAAAGAGAAAGTTGTCTAAATGTGAACAAACTTTTTTTTACAAATTTCTTAAGATCTTATATAATTTCTTACATTTTTTTTTATAAGTTTTTCTAATATAATGTTTTAAACTTTGCTTATAATTTTTCTTAAAATTTTTTGTATATTTTCATGTAATTTTAATACAAGTACTTTTAAACCAAATATTTTATAAATGTTTTAAATTTTTCTTACAAGTTTTTAATTTTTTTTTTTTACATTTTCATACAATTTTTTTAAAACTTTAATACATTTAGTCTAAACTTTCTTTTCCAACATTTTTAAAGTGTTTCACAGATTTTGTATGACAATTTAATATTTTTTTATAACATTTAAAAATATTTTCGTTAAATACTAGTTTAAAACATTATATTAAAAAAACTAACAGTTTATAAACTTCTAATTAAAAAGTATTAAAAAGTTGGAATAATTTTAAAACATTTACATTATATAGATTTTTTTTGTTTTTTTATTTGCTAAGTAATATTTTCTTTTTATTTTCTTAAAAGATCATCCATACTTATTGTTACATATTTAATTTATTTAATTTTATTGTTAGATACTATTTACTTTAAAAATATTGTATATGCTTAAAAACAAAAGAAAAAAAAATATAAGAGGCTATATAAATATTTCACAAAACAAAAACATATTTATTAATTAAAAAGTAAAGTTTAAAATTGATCAATATTTAATTAATATTTAGAAAATTATGGATATTTTAAAAATAACGTTTGAAAAAAATAATACAAACAAATATGAAAACTAAAATCGCTATTAAAAGTGAGGAATGATTTATCATGGTAATTAAATTTTCGTTTTGTTCACATGTAGGCAACTTGTTTTTGTACACATTTAACTATTTAACTTGTTAATTTGTTCACATATTACCATGGTCACCTGCTATAGCCGATGACAATGGCAATATGTGAACACATATAACAAGTTAAATGGTCAAATGTGCACACAAATAAAGAAGTTACATAAATATGAACAAAACAATAAAGATGATTACCGTTGCAAGTCATTTTCCCTATTTTAACATCCCCCTCAATCTTGGCATTGAAAAATTTCAAGCATATTTAGCCCTTTTATTTATGTTATATTTGACAACCCGACTGTGACTTAGTAAAACAAAAGTGCAACAGAAAGTAATAAAATGACAATTTGATATTGAGGTGATGATGATGACGATGATCATAACCATGCTTTGCTATCCCATCATTTTTCAATCTGTAGGTAAGATAAAGACAAAAAAAATCACATGTTAGGACATAAAAAAACATATAATCAACAAGTTAGCTCCGATTAACAGTCATTGATAATCTTGGGTTACAAGCTTGTGAATATGTTCCTTTTTTGTTGATACTCATTTGCTTGAATATTTGACAAATGATCAGAAAACATTACGACGAGACCAAATCCATTAAACACTAGTTTTAGAAACCATCTCAAGACCTAACAAAACAGCCACCTACATGACACTAAACATCAGTAAGTGAGTCAACTACTTAAGAAAGGCAAAAAAAAGACATTCCCAAAAAACAACATGAATGTTCAATTTCACGATAGCATCGAACCCCTAATATTTATTTAACCACTAAAAATATACTTTGCATCATTGTGATCACAACCAGTTTTATATCTCAAATGATTAAGAAACAATTACATGCCTACTTGCACTCTTTGCAAATTTAGGCACTGTACAACCCATGAGTTTTACAAAAAAAAAAGTGGCATTTTCTTTTGCATTTACTGTACTAACAGTAAATTGTTCATTTCAGAACGATTACAAATGGGAATAAAGATTTGATTAAATCAAGAATTTAAAATTGTATAATGAAACATGTAACAACAACCAAGCCATGGAAAACTTCTAATTGACAAAAGAATTTATAATTCTACAATCAGAAGAAGAAACAAGGTCATAGAACCTCTGACAACCTCAAGGATTTTGAACAATATATTTACTGACTCTTAAATATAACTTGGTTACCACTATAATAAAACATAAATGTTTATTGGTGACCAATACAACAAACAAACCAGTAAATAAACAACACGAATACACAATAGAACCTATTGATAAAACTTTTAACCAAACATAAGCTGATCAAGAATTTGAATCACAGACTAAGACAAGTCAAGATCTAAACCAACAAAATATATTCTATTATACTTGTTTTAGAAACAATGATCTAAACTTAGATCTCACAAAACTATACGGAATTAGACCCAAACAATGATCTAAAGCATAGTATACGAAAAAAAACAAAACTTATTTTGCTAGTTTTAACAAAAGAGGACCTAAGTTAGCCCCTTACCATACAAATTTAGATCCACAACAGGATCTAAAACAGGGTAAGAACAATAAATTATTGCAATGATTACAACAAACACACAACATCAGTCAGAAAAGTTCTTAGAAACTTGACAAGACATGATTATTAGTAAAAAACAGTTATAACCTGCCAAACAATCTAACAAGACTGAGTAGAAACAAAACACTATTCCAAAAAAGTACTATATGGTAGAAATACCAATCAACCGGTAAAAGTTTCAAAATGTCTCAACGACAACAAAAAGATTATCAATTAAGAAACTGAGGAATAACCTCAAACCCATTGAGTAAACCTGACACCAACACTTAGAAGGCAACACACCACATCTAATCAAGCCAATAAGTAAGTCTACCCACACATTTACACACTTAATGACACGAAATCAAACAATTTTACAAAAAACATCATGCCATCACAATCAAGCAGACGATCAAAACTATGCATCTTCGAATGCGAAAGTTTGACCGGATAGTATATAATTTCCCACATGCCGGTTTTCTAGGGAAAGAAAGTGATCACTTGGTCATCATGTAAGCTTCCTTTTACTCCAAATCTTATAAGTTAACTATTCAAACATATACATCTGGCTTTTCATTAGGGCCTAAATTCTAGTCTCTAGAGGGATATGTAAATCACCCATTTGGTGGTGTTGCTTGTAGGATGCATAGAAGTTTGGTTCGTGGGTTTTTCAGGAACGCAAGTGGCATGTTGCGTCGGAATGGTGAAGTTCATGTAACCCACAAGACTGCATGCCCGTACTACTGTTGGAACATCAAAGAATTAGCAACCCAATATTGCTTAACATTGCTTGAATGTGTCAAGTTCAAGATTAAGGATTATCCTGGTTACAAAAACAAAAGAGGAGATGGTAGGAATCCCGACCACCCATTTCCTCTAGGGAAGTGCAGTACTTTCAAGTTTATATTGTCTTCAAAAGCCAAGAAATTAAGCACCTCAAAGCATAGAAACCTCAACAACCTCAAGAGATTCCATTACAAAGAGCAAATGAAAGGTTTGCGATGAATCCTTTCCCAGTTATGATGAACAAGGAATGCTTTCGGGTTTTCAAGGAGTATTTTAATCATGCATGTTCGAGCTCTGGGGAATCTCATGACAATCTTCCCTATCGTGATCAGGACATGCTAAAAATTGGGTATGAAAGATACAATGCCGAAAATAATGGAAAACCTTTGGATGGTTATGTATGTCTTGTAGAAGAACTCCGAAAGGTTAGTAGACAGAGGGTAGCATTCTTGCGAAACTGGTTGCTGGAAATTGCTCACCAGTACTTGTCGGTTCAGGTTCGACCCGAGAAAAGGTTAGCTTGACTTCTTATTTGATATGCAAGAAATGTAAATACAGTTAATTATTTGCTGGAAATGATCACCATGTCTAATTTATTTTGTTGACTTGATATGCAAAGAAAAAGTAAATAAATGATCACCATGTCTAATCATGTAGTATAGTAGGAAAAACAAATATTTTTCATGATTTGATGTGCAGCCATCCGGCCAGGCGTCAGGCGATGTAACGCTCTGGCTATAGTACTATAGTAGTATAGTTCCACCTAGACCCCTTCAATTTTTAGAATTACCCTTTGAATTATATACTTTTAAGTTTAAATCATTAACACGCTTCATTATTTTGTTATAAAATAATTAATAAAGTTATTATTAATTATCATTATAGAAATAAAGTAAAAAAAAGTTATAAAACATAAAATAAATAAAAACCAAGAACTAACTATCCGTCACACTTTTATTCAACAATCTGATAAACGGTAGTACAATCATAAAGATGGTCGGTATGCTCTAAGTATGAGCAGGACCGGAGATTTTTTGGTATGGTACCGCATAGGAAGAAACAACGATGTTTCTGCCTTCCCCATCCCAATCTTCCTCTCTCACCTTTCTCCTTAATCGGCAAAAGGTTCCGTTGATGCCTTCCTCTTTCCCTCACATGTAATCTTCTTTCCCTCCCAAAAGGTGCATCATTAGGGATGCAAATGGATCGGGATTCCTTGCTATCCACGGGGACCGGAACCGAACGGATCTGGGATTCCCTGCCCTAGCAGTTAATGGATCCGGGATGGGGCAGGGACGGGCATATCACTATCTGTCCGTTTAAAACCTTATATATATATATATATATATATATATATATATATATATATATATATATATATATTCAAAAATCAGTTGTAATTAACTACTATTCAATGAGATTTCAATTTACAAAATTTTGGAACACTGAACTGTCGAAATATGCCACTTTGTATAAGAGATTGCAATCAAGTTATTATTTATACTTTTAAAATAAAGGGGAACACCTTTAGTTTCCCAATGTAAGATTCAAAGACTTCAACTTCCTGACCATCGAAAACCGTAAAGAAACACGAAATCTCAATGAACAGTTCTTTAGATCCACAGATGTTGTTTTCAAAAGAATTAGTTTTGTCATCCAGAAAGGCCTAGCAGCGTAGCTTGTTGCTCGTTTGCCTTCCATCGATATGTATTACCTATATTAATCAATATATATTCCAAAATAATAATAATAATATTCTAAACCTAGGTATGAACTCTCACACACAAGATTAAAGTAATCTATCTGATCTATATCAATAAACAAAAACAAGAAGGTAATATGTATATCATAATGATATAGCAAATGATATATAGCAAGACTAACTACAGCAGAGGTTGAAGTTGAGAGAAATATGGTTTTTTCTTGCAATTCGAAACGAGATTAATTATGTGATGTCAAAGAAGGTGTTTTTAATAGGTGAACACATTTCTCCAGTAGTCCTTCAAATCTTGTGACTTTGCATCTTTAGTCCTTAAGTGCTTCCACTTTTAACCCTCCGATCCTTGATAAACCAGCATTGTCCAACTAGCTTTATTCTACTTGCTTCCTTACATTTTCAGTCCAATACTACAAAAAGATCAACACAAATTATTATCTGACATTTTTCTAGGTCAAGATTGGGAAGTATTCTCTTTATATTTTAAAGGAAAAATGACTTGCGAGGATAATTATCTTTTCGTCTTGTTCACGTTTAGGTAACTTCATTTTCTTTTTTGTACATATTTGACCATTTAATAAGTTAAATGGTCAAATATGTACAAAAAGAGAAAGTTGTCTAAATGTGAACAAACTTTTTTTACAAATTTCTTAAGATCTTATATAATTTCTTACATTTTTTTATAAGTTTTTCTAATATAATGTTTTAAACTTTGCTTATAATTTTCTTAAAATTTTTGTATATTTTCATGTAATTTTAATACAAGTACTTTTAAACCAAATATTTTATAAATGTTTTAAATTTTTCTTACAAGTTTTTAATTTTTTTTTTTACATTTTCATACAATTTTTTTAAAACTTTAATACATTTAGTCTAAACTTTCTTTTCCAACATTTTTAAAGTGTTTCACAGATTTTGTATGACAATTTAATATTTTTTTATAACATTTAAAAATATTTTCGTTAAATACTAGTTTAAAACATTATATTAAAAAAACTAACAGTTTATAAACTTCTAATTAAAAAGTATTAAAAAGTTGGAATAATTTTAAAACATTTACATTATATAGATTTTTTTGTTTTTTTTATTTGCTAAGTAATATTTTCTTTTTATTTTCTTAAAAGATCATCCATACTTATTGTTACATATTTAATTTATTTAATTTTATTGTTAGATACTATTTACTTTAAAAATATTGTATATGCTTAAAAACAAAAGAAAAAAAAAATATAAGAGGCTATATAAAATATTTCACAAAACAAAAACATATTTATTAATTAAAAAGTAAAGTTTAAAATTGATCAATATTTAATTAATATTTAGAAAATTATGGATATTTTAAAAATAACGTTTGAAAAAAATAATACAAACAAATATGAAAACTAAAATCGCTATTAAAAGTGAGGAATGATTTATCATGGTAATTAAATTTTCGTTTTGTTCACATGTAGGCAACTTGTTTTTGTACACATTTAACTATTTAACTTGTTAATTTGTTCACATATTACCATGGTCACCTGCTATAGCCGATGACAATGGCAATATGTGAACACATATAACAAGTTAAATGGTCAAATGTGCACACAAATAAAGAAGTTACATAAATATGAACAAAACAATAAAGATGATTACCGTTGCAAGTCATTTTCCCTATTTTAACATCCCCCTCAATCTTGGCATTGAAAAATTTCAAGCATATTTAGCCCTTTTATTTATGTTATATTTGACAACCCGACTGTGACTTAGTAAAACAAAAGTGCAACAGAAAGTAATAAAATGACAATTTGATATTGAGGTGATGATGATGACGATGATCATAACCATGCTTTGCTATCCCATCATTTTTCAATCTGTAGGTAAGATAAAGACAAAAAAATCACATGTTAGGACATAAAAAAACATATAATCAACAAGTTAGCTCCGATTAACAGTCATTGATAATCTTGGGTTACAAGCTTGTGAATATGTTCCTTTTTTGTTGATACTCATTTGCTTGAATATTTGACAAATGATCAGAAAACATTACGACGAGACCAAATCCATTAAACACTAGTTTTAGAAACCATCTCAAGACCTAACAAAACAGCCACCTACATGACACTAAACATCAGTAAGTGAGTCAACTACTTAAGAAAGGCAAAAAAAAGACATTCCCAAAAAACAACATGAATGTTCAATTTCACGATAGCATCGAACCCCTAATATTTATTTAACCACTAAAAATATACTTTGCATCATTGTGATCACAACCAGTTTTATATCTCAATGATTAAGAAACAATTACATGCCTACTTGCACTCTTTGCAAATTTAGGCACTGTACAACCCATGAGTTTTACAAAAAAAAAAGTGGCATTTTCTTTTGCATTTACTGTACTAACAGTAAATTGTTCATTTCAGAACGATTACAAATGGAATAAAGATTTGATTAAATCAAGAATTTAAAATTGTATAATGAAACATGTAACAACAACCAAGCCATGGAAAACTTCTAATTGACAAAAGAATTTATAATTCTACAATCAGAAGAAGAAACAAGGTCATAGAACCTCTGACAACCTCAAGGATTTTGAACAATATATTTACTGACTCTTAAATATAACTTGGTTACCACTATAATAAAACATAAATGTTTATTGGTGACCAATACAACAAACAAACCAGTAAATAAACAACACGAATACACAATAGAACCTATTGATAAAACTTTTAACCAACATAAGCTGATCAAGAATTTGAATCACAGACTAAGACAAGTCAAGATCTAAACCAACAAAATATATTCTATTATACTTGTTTTAGAAACAATGATCTAAACTTAGATCTCACAAAACTATACGGAATTAGACCCAAACAATGATCTAAAGCATAGTATACGAAAAAAAACAAAACTTATTTTGCTAGTTTTAACAAAAGAGGACCTAAGTTAGCCCCTTACCATACAAATTTAGATCCACAACAGGATCTAAAACAGGGTAAGAACAATAAATTATTGCAATGATTACAACAAACACACAACATCAGTCAGAAAAGTTCTTAGAAACTTGACAAGACATGATTATTAGTAAAAAACAGTTATAACCTGCCAAACAATCTAACAAGACTGAGTAGAAACAAAACACTATTCCAAAAAAGTACTATATGGTAGAAATACCAATCAACCGGTAAAAGTTTCAAAATGTCTCAACGACAACAAAAAGATTATCAATTAAGAAACTGAGGAATAACCTCAAACCCATTGAGTAAACCTGACACCAACACTTAGAAGGCAACACACCACATCTAATCAAGCCAATAAGTAAGTCTACCCACACATTTACACACTTAATGACACGAAATCAAACAATTTTACAAAAAACATCATGCCATCACAATCAAGCAGACGATCAAAACTATGCATGTTAAGAAGTAGAAATATCAACAACCACTACGTTTGATATATACTAATGAAGATTACAAATGAACAGCATATGGTCAAGATAGAACATTTATCAAGAGGCTTTTAAAACTTTTCATTGTAAGCAAAATATAGTATAAACGACTGATGACATTAAGATGTTCCTTAAATTGTAATATCAATTGATGGCTTCTAACAAGAAAAAAACATATATACATCAACAACACCAAAAAAAACATAGATAAAGACCTCCATTTAACTTGATCGTGTTCATTATAATGACATGATTTATCACGTAGAAAAAGAATCTTCTGATAGACTTTTAAATACCAACATAGACACCTTGCACATAAAGAGCCCCTTGTTATAGGCCAAGAAGAAGTTCAACACTCTTGTTGAACGCCTTGCTAC